TGGGGTGGGGTGGGGTGGGGTGAGGTGTGACAGGGGAGCCCTAGGCTGGCCAAGGCTTAGTCTAGAGGGCCACGCCCCCTCTTCTCTGCTAGTAGGGGAAGAGCTGCCTACCTGGAAAAGGGCAACCGTTCAAGTCAGACTGTACTTCCACCTGTCCACTTCAGCCTGGGTCAGGGCTGGAGAAGAGAGAGAAGCTGAGAAGCTGTCCAGGCTGGTGTTCAAAGGCATGTCCAGGTCTGGTTCTTGTGAGAGCTTCTTCCTTCTCCCAACTTCTAGGTATTTTATGGGCTGACAAACTTCTCTTTTCTTCCTTCAGAACCATGTTCCATTTCTTACCTCAACCTCAATCTCCCTATCTGCCCAGTGAGGAGGGAGTATGTCCTTCTGACTCTAAGCCTGAGATAAGGCCAGGACAGCACTAAGCAAGGAGCCACTTAAATACCTTCTCCTCTAATGTCTTCCTTGCTGTAGGGAAAGGAAACACATAGGTTCAGAGAGAGGCAGGGACTTGTAAGAGATCATAAAACATGAGTAATGGAGGGAATAGGAATGGAAGGTGACCTCTCTGCCCTTAGACCTCCTGTTCCTGCTGGGAGAAGAGACAGATTCCCCCCTCTCTCCATGGACCTCTTGGAGAAAAACTACTTTTGGGCAAGTAGTAGTATCTTCTTGACATGGGAGCCCTTGAGTCCTTAGGCCCAGGTCGACCTGGGTAGGTTGAATACTTTCCCACTGGGCATTGGCATCCAGTCTCACAGCTCTGGAATGAGCCTGGGATGGAGTGACAGAAAGTAATAACCCCTATCCATGAAACTTCATCTCACAGAGCCTTAGGAAGTCACATCACAGGGTTTGTTCCCTGTATTAAATAAACGAGGAAGGAGAGGCTTTAGAAGGGGCTGCCTGTCTCAGGTCTTTGGGAGAGAGAGTTAGTCTCAGTGATCCCAGCCTGCAGGGCATGCTGGTAATGATAACATACCCCGACTAAGGCAGTTTTACATGATTCTTGAAAAACATGGTGAAATTCTCATGTTTTTCTCCACCCTCTTCAAGAACTGCCAACAGAGATGGATCAGGTAGATCAGAATCCTGAACCAGGAGCAGGAATCATGCAGGAGTCTGCTGTGCCTGGACTTGCTGTGTAATTTCAGGTCAATTTCTTTCCCCCGATACTTTATTTTTTTTATTAAAAAAAAAAAATGAAGTTTAGAGGGCACTCAATGGGTTGGGACAGCCATGCCGGCAGCATTCCTGATCTTTCCAGAACTGAGCAACCAGTCTGAGTCCTATTGGGCCTCACTTTGCCAGAGGCAAGGACAGTGAAATGGGCTAAACTTGGGTTGAGGGAGTCAATGTCAGGCTAATAGAGCTCTGTAGCAGCCCTGACATCCTGAAGCTGCGGTAATGCAGGGCGCAGGGAGCCATGGAAAGGGACACCGGGAGGGGGTGTGTCCCTAGTGAAGCAAGGTCTCTGGATTCTGGCGTCTCAAACATCATTCTCAATGGGCTGTTTTTCAGTATTAAAACTTTCAAAGGCAATTCGGTTTACTTAAATTGAGTTTCTTCCTGGATAGTTTCCTTTATCGGTCTTCTATCCCCAGCACCTAGCACAGGACCCGGCCCAAAGCTCTGCTACTGTGAGAAAGAAAGCGCATCGTTGTACAGCACAGCGAGGCCCGACAGCGTTGAGAGTCGAGGTGAGACCAGTCCCCTGCTAGTCTCGCTCTCCCGGACCCAGGCTGCAGCTCGTGGGCGTTCAGAGACAGGACTGAGGCGCAGTAGCCCGGCTCCGCCATGGACTTGCTGTGCAGCCTCCAGCTAGTCACGTAACCTCTCTGGGCTGCCGTTTGGTGACCTGCAAGGCTGGACTAGGTGGTCATGGTATCAGGTCTGATCGCACCTTTTGGGGTTGGAACTTTTAAGAGGCCGCCGGCTCGGGCGGTGATGAATCACCCCCACCCGGGGGGAAACTCCTTCCGCCCATAACGCCGCGAAGTGCGGGAGGGGGCTGCTCTGGGTGCACAGGTAAGGCTGGTCCCGTGTGTGCCTCGCAGCAGGACACTGTCCCGAAGCTGAACACCTACTGTCTGAAATGGGGAATCGTAGCTACTCCTGTTCGGGCTATGCCCCGGGGAGTCTATCCAAGCCTCTCGGGTATCGGAAGAAAGACGTGCGCGTGCGGGCATAGTCCAGCCGAGTTCTTTGATTTGGCACCACCGCCCCTCCCCCACCATTTCGATCGTCGCTCTCGGGAGGCGCTTTTGAGAAAGGTTTCCAGCCCTCAGTCTTTCTTCTAGACTTGCTGTGGGACTTTGGACAAGTCGCATTCTGCCTCTGGGCCTCGGGTTCTGCACCTGCGAAATGGAGAAAGCATAGCTTCGGGGCCCCTTTAGCTCTAAGACCCTAGAGAACCTGGGTTTGTAGACTTGGGCTCAACGAGAGAGGCTGGGGGTGGGGGTGTCACTGGCTGCAAACCTCAGGGAGTCCCGCACTCGCGCCTCCCCAGTAGGTGTGCAAGTCGCCATGTTGAGTCTGGGCCAAGGCTCTGAATTCTGTTCGTTTCCGACCCACTGGGGGCCATTGGGTGAAGCCAGTACGGGAACTCTAATCCTTCCCGGTCCCTCTCTGCTGTTGCGATCTTCCTGCTCCAAGGCCGGGGTGGAATGGAAAGATCCGGACAGGCAGGGGTTCCAGACAAAGAAGAGATAACGCCGCCACTCCACCCCCGCGCTCACTGCAGTTTCCTGGGTCCCCAGAGGCCCGCCTGGGGCTGTTTTCCGCAGCTGTGCCCTGCTGGGGGGTGGGGACGGGTGTCAGCGCCGGAAACTTGTCTACTGGTCAGGGACAGCTGGGTGTAGAACAGGGACAGAAGGTGGGCCCAAGGGCCGACCTAGTGTAGGAGTTTGAGAAGTGGAACATGAATAGAGACAAAGAAGAGGAGGGGAAACCGAGGCAGAGAATAAAGCAAAAGGATAACCCAGGAATCCTCCCATGATCAGCCGGTGCCCTGTCTTCCTTGCAAGCCCAGTCCCGGAGCAGACATCTCAAAACCCTTGTTTTGGTGGATTTATGTTTAATACTAGCGGATCATCACTCATGAAATAAAAAGTGACTGAGAGGTCTTCCGACCTCTCCCACGAGCTGCTGGGGCAAGGGAATCCTCAGCGTTTTCTTGTGCCAGAGCCCGGAAGGCACACAGAACTATAGCTTCCTGAGTGAAGAATGACTGTCCCATGCTTCCTTTTTAAGGTCCAGTTTCTTTGATTGTTGTCTCAGAGACTTAAATTCCACCAAGAAACGGACTCGCTAGTCAAAGATCCCTTTTGTAGGAGGAGAGTTCTGCTACAAATCCATCCATTTTTGTCTACATAGGGACAGGAACTTCCCCAGTGGACGGAAGGTCAGGTTTTCCGCATTGTAGCGGCCTGGCCGCTTTGCTTGACCCTTGGAGATAGAATACGTCTGCCCACTCGCCCGCTTCAGGGACCCTCATTAGCACTAGACGCGACTTGGCTCATCGGTTCTCAAGAAGCCTTGAGTCAGGTGCAGAATTGCTCTGGTGGATAGAAGCGTCAACATCAGTTCCCAACGTGTCTAGCAGTTGCCGATCTGAGGCAGGAAAGAGGGCCAGTCACTCTGCTTGGGGAACCTGGTCCAAAGCCTTAGCCCTTCCACTCAGGTGCGCCCTGGTGAGCCCCAGTTACTAACTTTAAAGGAATGTGAGATATTCTCGCCCTTCCCCAATTTCTCTGCCTTCCGTTAAGGCAGCATTGAGGGCCCTGCAGGTGGAAGTGAGGGAGTAGGGTGGACGAGGATGAGCCAGTGGTTTTGTAGGTCCTTGATAAAATTAGGAAAGATTTCCGTGGAAAGACGCTTCACTAAAATCTAGTTAACCCCACTCTGCCCATTTTACAGATTAGGAAAGTGAGGTAAGAACTGGCAGATAGGCACACACTCCGAGTCCATCATGAGCCTGATGGTACGGGATCTCTACTGCGCTCCTTGTCTTCCTTCAACATACAATTTTTGTTTTTTCTGGAGACTATTCCCCCATTATCATTCTTCATTCTGCTGCTCCCAAGCCCTGAGAACGTCCCAGGTTCCCAACGTCGAGGTGGGAAGGTCAAGCCCGCGTGGGGCCCGCAACAGGACTCTCTGGACACTGCGTGGGCCCCCTTCCCCCTCCCCACATCCGCGATCCACTAGGCCTTAGTCCAGCGCGTTTGTCAATGAACGTGGCGCCGCCGCCTGGGCCCCGCCCCCCATTCTCTCCCATTGCCCAGGTGTCGGCTAATCAGGCGGAGCCCGTGGACTGCTTAGCCAATGGGGCGGTGTTTCGGGCTAGGGCCGGCTGCCGCCACTCTGATTGGTGTAGTGGAGCGTGATTGGCAGGTTAGCCCCCGCCCCGCCCCGCCCCCGCCCGGAGGGAGCTGAGCCCCGGGCGGCGCTGTCCACACGCAGCGGGTCCTGAAAGCGGCTTCGGGGCGGCGCGGTGGCGCACTGTGCGCGCCGAGCAGGCGGAGGGCTAGCGCCGGCGGCGACGGCGGCGGCAGCAACGCAGGCAGTCAGAGCTGGCTGCGACTCCATCTCGGCCCCGGCAGCCCCGGCGGCCTTGGTGACGGGGACTGTTCGCTCTCTCTTCTGTTCCTCACTACACCCCTGGGGCAGGCGCGGCCGCCGTCCCGGAAGAGGCAGCGGAAAGACTGTGAAACCAGACCCACGAGGGAGGGCGGCAGGGCTTGAAGAGTTGGTAGGCACGAGGTAGACACCCCGGCGAGGAAGAGTCCGTCGCTGGTGTCCCCGGTCCTGGTCCCAGCGATGGGCGAGCAACGGGGGCAGCGGGAACTTTGAAGGCAGCGGGTTTCGGGGTTGGAGGGCTGCACGCTCCCGGGGACTCCGGAGTCGCGGCCCCAGCGTCAGGAGCGGAAGCATCTCCAAACCCGCCAGGACCCCGCGTTGCCGGAGAGGAAGTTCTTTGCAACTTCGTCCGAGACGTCGGAGAGCCAGCCGGAGAGAGGCTGGGGGCGCAAGTCTGAGCCGCAGAGACTCGGAGAAGCAGAGAAAGAAAGGATCTGGCGGAGACCGAGGGGTCGAGGAGGGACCCCAGAGGCATCGAGGCTGCGGAACCAGCCTGGTAGCCCCCAGGTCTCGCAGCCCCCTGAGTGAAGCCAAGGGCCGAGCGTTCCGGCGGCCTCCTCAGAGCCTCCCCTACCCCGGGCCGGGGCTGCTGGCGGTCCCGGAGGCGGGCACCTACGCTATGCCCCCGAAGCCGCGGGCGCCTTGGCCGCAGCTACCCCGGGCTGGGCCCGGAGCCACCGCTTGAGCCAACCAGTGAAAGAAGCTAGCCGGAGTTGGGCATCCGATTCTAGCCGGGCTGCGCTAGCACCGTTTCCCGCCTCTCCGCGCAGCTCCCGGTAGTCTCCAGGAGCGAGGCTCTGAGAGAGACCCCGAAGCTACAGCAGTGTTTTCTGAGCCCGGCTCGCACAGTGCCTGGCCTGGTGGCGCGGCTCCCTGTCCGCCCTGGGCAGCCCCTTGGCGCCGGGAGGCGGCGGCGTGGGCCGGCCTGCAGTCTGGAGCGCCCCGATGGAAATACACTGTAAGCACGACCCGTTTGCATCCATGCATAGTAAGTAGGCGGCGAGCTCGCTTCTCTCACTCTCCCGCCGGGACCGGGTTGGGGGTGTCGGACCGTGGGTCAGGTACTAAGGCCGGGAGGATCCCGGACCTCTGCAGCCGCACAGCCAACTTTGCAAAGTGCAGGGATCCCAGGCGGGGGACCTGGAACAACGTGCTTGGCCGCCGGGGCTGGAGCACCTGGTCCTGGAATCCCGCCTCCGGCAACGCTTAGAGTGGGCAGCAAGCTGCAGCCTCTCAAGGCTCCAGCGGCGATATTTCAGCTCTTTCGGAGAACCCTGGCTTGGACCCGTAGAGGGCTCCGGACCAGGCCAGTTGAAGGGCACTAAGTTGCAGGGAGAGATCAGTCTGAGTCTCAGCGCCCCACACCCCTACCCGCATGGCGCCTTTTTCAGCAGTGGGGCTGATCCAGTGGAGCTTGGAGGGAAAGTAGGGCCCTGACCCGTGTCTGTTTGTGTGGAGGAAGAGGTTGAGAACTAAGAGAGAACACTGGGGCTAGGGCTCCAAAGGCGTCCTGTGTTGAGGAGGGGGATTTGAAAAATCAACGAAGTAACGGTTTCTGAGTTCAGCAACTGCTTGGGAGACGGCCAGTTCGTACTGAGACTCTTAAAGCCCCCATCGGGTCCTTCTCTGCAGGACGCCTGTCCGTCCTGGCTTCTCCCCTTTAAAATAAGAGGAAACAGAAAAAAGAAAGAAAGAAAGAGGAAGCCAATTAGTCACCACGCAGGCACCTCCACCTCTGAAAGACGCAGCATGCGTAGGAGACGGGAAGGGTCATTTCGGGCGAGGGCAGGGCCGGCGGGGCTGCCCGACCCTTGGGGATCCTGCCAATTCACCCATTAGCACAGCCTCCTGTGAGATGAGCGCTTCTCTCACGGTGAGTTAACCGCCGGATTAGATTCGGAGATTTCAAGGAAATTCCAAGTGGAACGAATCGCGTTTCCTTTCTGCTTGCTGCAGAGCCAGGCTGGAGAAAGGTGCCAGGCTTTAGCAGCCTCCGTTCCTGTGCTGCTTAGGGTCTTTGCGGGCTGCAGGTCAGCGAGTTGCTCCCGGGCTGGGAGCCCTCCCCATGCCCGGTTCACCCCTCCCCCCAACAGTCTGGGATCCAGCTTTCCCAGCCGCGGTCCCCTATTTAACAAAGGCAGCAGAGACCCGGCTGGAGAGAAGGCGAGCTTCCCGGGGCGAGCGTGTCTATGTCTGCCATGGAGGGCTGAGTGGCCTGGCAAGTAGGGGAAAGCCTGTCTAGGCAGCCAGGGCTGGCTGCAGGTCAGTTTCTCTTTGTGTCAATTTTCTGAGTCTGCAGTAATCCACCAAATCGGTGGGGAGCTCTGTGCAGCCGAGCTGCCTGTTCTGGTCCCAGCCCAAACGATTCCTCAAGGTTTGGGGCCTGTGGCCAACCGTTTCCAGTCCGTGATGACCCCAGTGCCCTCCACAGCCTTTTCCGGCTCAGACTCCAGCTTGCTTCTGGGGAGGCTCCGATCTCGCAGTGTAAGCCCAAAACCAAACCAGTTGGGGCAGTGCTCTGAGAGGTGGACAAGCCCTTGGCTCAGCCAAGGAGCAACTGTGGGGACAGATAGGGACGACCAGCCCCTGTACTTCTCTCCTCACTGGCAGAAATCCACAGGCCCTCACTGTGTCGTCCTGGCCAGAGCTCACGACCCAGAGGTTGTGCCCTGGCCCTTTGGGAGATAGCATCAGACCCGGTGGTGGTCTCTCGGCTGAGCATCAGCCTGGAGAAGGCAGCTCCTTTCAGGTGCGGGTTAGCCAACCTCTACTGTCTGTACCTCCTCCTCTGGGCCTTCAATCTGCCCCCTTCATGGGAAGTGCTCCCTCCCATTTTCAATCTCCCTGGCAGCAGTGGGGGTTGGGCCCCAGCCAGCCTAGCTTCCAGAGCTGGTGCAAGCATGCAAGCCCTTGGCTTCTCTGGAAGCACTCTTGGTTCTGAGGCCCAAAGCTGTTTTCTTGCATAAGGTAGGCCTGCTCTGGGGCCCCAACTTGCTAGCAGTGGGGAGTGAGGGGGCACAGTAGATCCTGGGAGGTAGCTGAGGTAGTAGAGGCTCAGATCAAGTCCCAGCTCCTCATCTTCCTCCTGGCCCAGTCAATTTATTCTCCCTGTTATCTCTTCCCACCCCCTTCTCCCTACCACTGCTTCAGAGCAGGATAGCTTCTTTGGGGAGGGGCAGGCGCTTCCAGGAAATGGGCTTCTAAGTTCTGAGGAGCCCCCACCTGCTATTTCAGGCTCATCATTTTCATCAGCACAATAACCTCCTTCTCCCTTCCTAAGCTGTTTCTCTAGGTATCTTTGCCAGTTGTAAAACACTTATAGCCAGCGTCCTACTTGAGGGTTACCTAACCCTTCATCTTCACCCATTTTACAGAATATGATATTGAAGTCAGAGAGACAAAAGGACTGACTCAGGAAGTTCACATTGGCCAGGCTAGAGCTGGTTCTTGGGTCTCCCTGACCGGCTGACAAAGGCATAAACATGAGGCTTCAGAGGGTTCATAGAAGGGGAGAAGGAGAGACCCAGATTCCAGGGAAAGGGCAGTGCAAAGCTCTCTCTCTGTCTTGTCTAACCATATCTATGTCTACTGCCTGACGGTCCACGTGTGTCAATACCTGTCTGTGCATTGGAGAGTCCACTAGGAAGACTCCCTCCCTGCCCTTTCCCTGTGCCCCTGTTTGCCTGTCTGTGTACCCCTTCATTCTTTCTGGTGCATCTAGGAAAAACGTTAGTGATCCTGTGGGGGTCCTGGAGCTCAGTCTGTGGCTGAGTCAGCAAGGACCCTTTCCCCAAAATCTCATGCTCAGCCACGGTCTTTGAAGGTATTGGGAGGGCCTGTGATGGGTAGCATGTCTTTATCAGGGCCTGAGGAGCATCTGTGGAGGCCAGCCCTTTCCAGATAAGAGCCACAAAGGCCTCAGGGGCATCTGCAATTCAGTCTTTCTCTCCTCATCCCCTCCAAACCCTGCCCAGTCTGACCTGTCCTGGCTGGTCTTTTTCTTGTATCTGTGGGTCTGTTTCCTGGTCTTCACCTGATTTGTTTGCCTCTGTGTTAATCCCCCTTTCATAGAATGAGTACTCAGCTAATTGGAGTCCATAGGAAGTACAGTCTGGGACTTGAGTTCTCCAAGAAGATGCAGGGCCAGAGCTGGGGCCCTAGAAAACAAAGGCCTCCTGTCCACAGAAGGCCCCTGTCCTCCAGAAGCCCCTTCCTGGGCTTCCTCCATTTTCTCTTCTTGTTGCCTCCTGTGGTGTGCCATCTTCATCTTTCTTTTCTCTGCCTATTCTAGCTTCTCCATTCATTTTCCCTCTCCTCTGCCTGCCTAACCTGCTGCTTCCTTTCCAGGCTCTCTCCTGGCTGTCTATCTCATCTAGTTCCCACTCTTTGCACTTCTGTCAACACACCTCTTTTTCCCTCTTTTCTTTCCCTGTCCTGCCTCACCTCATTCAGACTTTGGACTTCACTTCTTTCCAATCCCAGAGTAATTGGTTTTCCTCACACCACAGTTGTAAACCTTCTCATCACTGCCCTCTAAGAGCTCCATTGGGTAAGAATGTGATGGTGAAGAAGGCCAGTTGGGCTTGGGGACATTTCAAGGAAGCCGAGGAAGGTAAGAGGCTCCCAGGTCATCCCAAGTCTGGTGTCAGCTGTGGACCTATAGATAAGACTGTGAAAGAGCATTAGTACCTCAGCCTATGTGGTCAAGGGTAGAGGGTTTGGGGACCTGCTCTCACCTTGAGAAACCAGGCTCTAGGAGACCTTTAGGGTTTTTCCCTTGTTACGAAACAGCCCCTGGTGCTCACACCTGTCCTGAAGGACTGATTTTGGAATTTAAGTCCTCTGAAGGTTGCCACTGTGTCTTGGGCAGAAATTGTGATATAGGGAACAGGCTATTGCAGATGGACCATAATACCTGGACTCCCAGTCATATCAAAAGTGTGTTGGGTGTTTCAGCTTCCTTCGCCTGCCCTTTGTTTTCCCAGATGAGCTCATACCAATTTTGAATGTATTTTTTACTTAAATCCAGCCTGCTCTTGAAAGATCTGTACAACCCTTTTTAATAGGTGTCCCGAGACCCAGAACAAAGCCTTCTGAAGGCTTTTGACCAGGGTGGTTGCAGTCTGTTTTAGAAAACTATGCAATTATGTTTCTAACTGCAAAATCCTATTTGGAATGGTTTTCCTTTTCCTTATGTCTGGAGTGTTTTAGAACAATCAAAACTGAATAAAGATCATTTTGAAAATCAGAAATCCAGCTTAGAACTGGAACTAAGTACTGCAGTTATCTATAAAATTGTGTTTTTTCTTAAAATAAGCCTGAGCTTGGACATTTTGGGAAATATTCATGAGAAACTTGAGGGGACTGCTTGGACAGTTTTTAGGAAATAGCTTGTATTATGGGGGGTTTTGTTCCCTTTATTTCAGACGTGGTTCATGAACCTGAGAAGTAGTTGAGTACTGGAGAGAAATTGCTGAGATGAGGTGGTATTTCATGTTTTGGAGTTGGAGTGTATATGTGTGTGTGACCTTTGAGGTCTTTCCCTTGTACGGCCCAGTCCTAGCCTAGTCCTGGTTTAGAAGGAGTTTCCCCTCCTTTGCCTCTGAGCTGCCAGCAGCATCAAGAAATGCTTTGACTTGGCTTAGGGCTCCAGTCTTTAGCAACGTCAGTGAGTGACTAATTAACAGCTATAAGGTCAATGATGTTGCTGCATTGGATCATTCTGTGTTTATTGGTTTGGCTCTTCATTTACTTGGGTCCTACATCCCTCCAGATGGACCTTGATGTAAGAGAAGGGTGGATGAGGCACTTTCTCAGACTGCTTTTACTTAAAATCTGTCCCAGGACCCTTGTAAAACCTGGGACCCAGAGGCTTTCTTAGGTTTCTTTATTTCCCCTGGAACCAAAGTAAAGCTGTTTGCCAATTGCAAAACACTGTAAAAATTCCAAGGAAACGACTTTATAACGAATCCCCATGCAGTGGAGTGGAATGTGCTGTGTGTAGAAGATGCTATGATCCATTTCTTTTGTGTGCTTCCAGAAGGTACAGTGGTCAAGTCTGTATGTCAGCCTCACCTTCTTAAAGGGAGGCTTTTTTACAAGGCGATGGTTGTTTCTTTGCTCAGTACTCTGCAGATGCTGTTAAAAATTTTTTAAATTTCCTTAGTCCTTGAATTAGATTGCAAATTAAAACATTTTTTTCCCTGAGATATACATTTATTGAAGTTGTTCTTTTCACTTTTTAAAAACATTCGTTAAAAGAAAACAAGTTTTTTTTTTCCTTTTTAAATGTGACATATTTTAAAGCATATTTTCTCCCCAGAATCTTCCTTAGACCTCAGCATCACATAATAAGTTGTGACCATTTCGTTTACATTGAGGTCTTCACACATTTCATTGTTTAGAAAAATTATGGAGAAAATGTTAATAATAGTATGGGGATGTTTGCTGTCAATAGCTCAATAGACTGGCTGTGGATGGACAAAGGCTAAGATTAATTTCAAAAAGTAATCTGAGGACTTTGTGTAGTTTGCACAATTGGACTCCAGGCGCAAGACATCCAGCCTGCCGGCCATTTGTGATCAGAGGGGCTCTGGGTCCTCACAGCGGTGCTTCTCCCGTGTGACTGGTTCTAACCACCCTTTCCCTTTCCTTTTGTTTCTGATCTGTTTCAGGACATGGAGGAGTGAATCAGCTTGGGGGGGTTTTTGTGAATGGACGGCCACTCCCGGACGTAGTCCGCCAGAGGATAGTGGAACTTGCTCATCAAGGTGTCAGGCCCTGCGACATCTCCAGGCAGCTTCGGGTCAGCCATGGTTGTGTCAGCAAAATTCTTGGCAGGTAAAGGCAGGAGCTTGAGACTTCCCTTGATCTTTCAGATGAAGACCTAAAATACGACCCAGCAGCTGTCCAATATGACAGTGTCATAGTGAGAACCATGGTGCATTTTGTTTCACACGCAGAGCACTTTAGAGTTTGCAAAGCCCCAATTCCAAGTAGCCCTGGGAAACCCCTGTCTCTAGAGACATGTGAATAGGGTGGCTTAGTAAGAAAGGATGACATGTTATCTGAAATCCTAGTGAATTGTTCTAAATTTGGGAATTTCCCTTGCTATCCTAGGTGAGCCCAGGTCCCTGAGCAGGACTGGTTGGAAAATCCTTAATATCACATAACCAGAGTTCAGTGTTATATTTTAATGTTTTCAAAAGCATATTCCACTTTTAAAAGTCAACCGTCATTTCCAGTTTTGGATCATTGTCAACCTTGTTATGTTGGGCCACATAACAAGCTTCCTTCTCTACATTTTTATTTTCTTCATAGTGACAAGCATCCAAAGTATATATTAGAGAGAAGAAAAAAAACCCACCACCCAAACATTAACTCTCAAATGTGACATTTGAAAGTTGCGACTTGACCCAGCGATTTGCTACAAGCAAAATACTAACAATGAGGCTTCTCCCATAGGGTGGTGCAGGCTTTTAGTGCTCCCGTTTATTTTCTCACTAGCCTCTGCATGATCCAATGAAACATGTTTTAAGATGAGAAAACAAACCTAGAGAGGCAAAGCGACTGACACAGGTTTATCTATCCAGGCAGCACTTGGGTTGCAGTGATACCTAAAGGACCCCTCGACCATCCAAGTCTCACCATACCCCCCAAATAAAGCCACAGGTTTGTTTCTGGGCATGTGATCTTGTTTTAGGTCTGCACTGGCAAGCAAGAGCTTTCTCGGGTTTAGCTGCTTGTTGCGTTCTCACTATTTCTTTCCCCGGGTCAGAAAACAGCCTTTGTCCTGTAGTTTGCATTATGGTATGAGCACAGATGCCTGAATAGGAAATAAATATTTTGAAGTATGTCAGTGATATTGTGACTTTCTGCTGGCTCCTTCCCTTTCATCCACTGGAATTCGAGAAATTCTCTTAGATGGAAGGAGCAACAGCTTCTAATAACCTTGGGGAGGCTGCTTGCTTGAGGCCAAGGGGAGAAGTTTCAGGACCAGGGGTCTGGTAGCTCCTTTGGGGACCTTGGCTCCGGGCTTCATTCCTCATCCTCCAGCCCAGTGCAGGTTACCTGAGCTGTGGAGGCTGTGGGCTTCACTCCTGTTTAGCACTTAGAAAGCAAATGAACCCCAAAGTTAGGGGACAATTGCGGCACATTAGCACGGTGTTCTTGTTAGGTGGTTGTTTTAGGCAGAAGGATGAGAGTGAGAAAAGAAAAGTGGAAGAGAGACAGAGAAAAGAAAGAGAGAAAAAGAAGACAGAAAAAAGAGTGATTTTTAAAAGAGAAATAGAGAGAGATAAATGACAAGACAGGAGAAAGAGAGAGCACAATATTTTAGACTATCTCAGCATCAGACTTCTAGAGCCAAAAGGCTCCTAGATGTCTTTTTGTGGAGCCTCTTCATTGTACTGAGAGAGAGGGAGAGAGAAAGAAGGCCCTTCCTTTGTTTTTGCTGAGACATCTTTGCTGAGCCGACATTTTGCTCGCTGTTTGAAATCTCAGGGCAAGATCCTGAGCCTTCTTCAGAGGGGACATCCAAACACGGGGTCCTTATGTTCTGGTGCTCTGGAGCCTCCAAATCTCCCAGGGAGATTGAGGGGGACAGGGACCCTTCCAAGCCCAGCCGGCAGCCTCAGCAGCCCAGAATAGATTTGTCACTAGGTAGAGTGGCACTCGGAAGTTACGCGCCGCTCTGGTGCCTGGCCGTTTAAGTTGTCAACAATAAATTGGAATTTCATAGCTCATTATTTTCATAACTAAGAACCACAGTGGACAAAATGTCACTCTAATTAGAACTGCCTTTTAAGAAACAAGTTCAGCCCTAAAACAGTGTAACTGGGAATTTCTGAACTAGGGCTGTTCAATCCACATTTTTTTTTTTTTTTATTACCGAAGAATCTGATGGGCACACAAGAGGTGACAGATTGTAGGGAGAGTGTGATATGTGGTGGCTGTGGTTTTCAGAGTATGTGGCAAGGCAGGAAAAGTCCCTGGGGCATGCAGGGACCCCCGTCATCTCAGGAAGGTGGGCAGTCTGCCAGGAGTGTGGGCATTCAGTCTACAGAGCTTAAGGCTTCGGAGGCGCTTGAGAGGCACAGCTCGGTGGCATCTGAGGCCGAGTTAAATCCACCCAGGACTTGGCTGCTGTCTTTTTTCACTGGAGCCTGGTTGGGAGGTTCAGGTCACTGGAATTGGGTGGTATGTTACACAGTAATAAGAAACACGGAGGGGATCTTAATCCTCCGCACGTGCTCTTTATTTTATGTTTTGCAAAGCTTATTCTCAGCTGTCTGTATTTCTGCCTTCAAAACAGCCTCACAAAGCAAACAGGGCAAACATTCTTCCCCTATTGTACAAATGGGAAAACCGAGCCTTAGAGAGGCTAAGTTGGCCAAGATCACACAGCGAGTTAGCGTCAGAGCCACTGACTAACACCTATACCTCTTGACTGCTAAACTAATGCTCTTTGCACCGAAGGACATTGTGTGTTGGTGGCTGCCGTTTGTCTTTTGTCTGTAAGCCAAGGGGCTGCATGGCTGTTTTGCTAAGATGAAAGGATAGTTATTAAGTCTGAATCCTCACTTGACACAGTTTTGAGTTGGGGTTTTGGGAGTGTCAGATTTGCCTTCTAAGTGCCTGGCCCATGTGTCAGTCAAAAGAAAGACCTCTCACGTCAAGACCGCAGTCTCCCACAGTTGGCACTGCTCAGGTGGGACGAGCGGGTAGCTCTGTGTGCTGCTGTCCACCAGCCATGTAAGTGGGGGCTGAGTTGGGGAGGCCTTCAGCCTGCCACCCTCTCAGAGTTGCTGTGTGAATGTTGCGGTCCCATTCAACTAACATATTTTGAGTATCCAGGATAGGGTTGTCTAAATGTCTGTAACCCCTTCCCTGAGATTCTATGTGCTCTAACAGACACTCGATAACTATTGGTTGAGTGAGTGAATGAATAAAAAATGTATGTGAAAATGCCTGGCCTAGTAAATAGTAAAGTTCTCTGCAATTGCAAGGGATCATTATTATTATTTAAATTTTTTATAAGCAAAGCAACAGTTTGCTGTAGTGGGAAGAGCACTGAATTTAGAGTCAGGTTTGAAAGCTGGGGCTGCCCCTAACTACAGAAGGGAGTTAGGCAAGTCACTTAGTCTTCTGATCATTTATTTTCCCTTCTGTAAAGCCCTGTGGCCTTGCTGGCTTAGTGTGAGGATCAAGATAGTTGGACGAAGAGCTCTGTAAACTTTAGGGTGCTGTGGCTGAATTACAATCAGTTGTATTATAGTAAAAATTGACTTTACATTATAAAATTGATAGGACAATTAGAGGTTGAAGAGATTGCTATGTGCCTTGATTTAGGGTGCTTTTCTAGACTTCTGTGGTTTTTTTTTTTTTTTTGGATGTTGTTAAAAAGTTGTTTGTAATAATTTTTTAGCAATTACAGAAAAATTACTGAAAGCAATTTTTTAGAAAGAGGGAAGATAGGTTGCGTTTTTGCCTTATGGTCAAAATTTGTAAATGGCTCACTCTTTTCAATGAAAAATAGACATTTCACTTTCACATCGCTTCTTCCAAATTATTTCATCTCTTTTAGAATATTCACTAACTTAGCCTTGCCCAAACTTAGCCTGAAATTCCAGGCTAAGGATTTCCGCATCTCTATAAATGTGATCAGCCATGCTGGGTAACATTTTCTACCATCTCAGAGTCACCCCATTTCTTTGCGTATCATCAACTCTTGTTAGATTTAAAAATTACTAGTCATTTTTAAAATGTCTTTTTTTTTTTAATTCAACTGCAAGATAATTTCCTTGGAAAAGGAACTCAAGAATTCTTCTGTAAACATTGAGAGAGACTCAGATTCAGTGAGTGATGGCTCAGATTCAGAAAAGGAATCATGTCATTTTTTTCCCCCCTGAAATGATCTTTCATGGCACTCTTCTTCTTGGTCTCGGTTTTACTGTAAAACCCTGACATCCTGTTTTTCTTAATGAGCAAATGCTGATAGCATGGAAATGTCCTTAGAAACAGCCATTTACCTCAGGGAGGTCCCTGGAAGAGCTGCTGTGACTTGTGGTTGGTTTTTCTGATTGCTTGGGTTTTAACTTACAACACATATTTTCAGATAATTCTGCAATTCAATATTCCTTTTAACTTTACATCAGGATTATTATTTTTCTCTTATGGAAAAATAAGTTGCATTTCAGGGGATAGTTTCACACAATGCTGGAGAATTCTGCTAGGGGTTGGGAGAGCTGTCCAAGGTGTAAGCTACCTTACCGGGGAAATTTTAATTCCAGAGGCCGGTCACAGTCCTGGCGTGGCCATTTGCTCTTGTGTGACCCTAGGAAGGCTGTTTAACCTTGGTGAGTCTCTGCTTTATACCTGTAGATCAGGACCTATTCATTTATTTGTTCATTCACTCATTCATTAATACAAAACAATTTGTGTGCTTTAGAACTGTTAGAGATAAAATGGGAAAACTGACTTGAAAGTTTTCTGTAAACTATAAAAGGGTAGATGAATGTGAAAGAATTTTGTTAATGTATAGCCAGTGTTGTCCAATAGAAATACGAGAGCTGTGTATGCTGTTTAATATTTCCTAGTAGCACATTAAGTAAAAAAAAGGGGTACTAAATTTTAATTATATATTTTATTTAGCTCAATATATAAAAATGATTATTTCAGCATATAACTAATATTAAAATTATTGGGATAGTTTACATTTTTTTGGTACTATGTTTTATCCAGTGTGTATTTTATATTTACAGCACATCTTGATTCAGACTACCCGTATTTCAAATGTTCAAAAGCTGCATCTGGCTGGTGGCTACTGTATTGGAACATGCAGATCCGGATGTTTCTTGGACAGAGTAGCCCGTTATTTTGTTGCCAACATCCACTTTCCTCGTTCCTCATGGCTAAGCTTCTTTCTCTTTGGGTCCTAGGTATTATGAGACGGGAAGCATCAAGCCTGGAGTAATTGGAGGATCCAAACCAAAGGTCGCCACACCCAAAGTGGTAGAAAAAATCGCTGAGTATAAACGCCAAAATCCCACGATGTTTGCCTGGGAGATCAGGGACCGGCTGCTGGCAGAGCGGGTGTGTGACAATGACACCGTGCCTAGTGTCAGTTCCATCAACAGGTGAGGGGCTTGTGCCTGTGGGGGTTGGGGATTTGGGGGGATGGCACGGCGTCCTGGAGGCTCTGCATGTGCCTTTCCTGAAGATCTGGTCTCTCTTTTCACCAAGGCCCCTTAGGGGTTACTGAACCAGAGGGATGCTAATGGGGCCTGCTGGGTCTCTGTTACTCTTCTTTTCTTTCCAAAGTGGGTAGGAGTCCTAGGCCCAGGAGAGGGGAACACGCCCATACCCTGGCTGCTCGAGGTTCTTCTGAGCCCAGAGTGATTTCCATCCCTCCCTTCACCACCCACCTATATGTGTGGAACACTTTGCAGTGAATTGTCCTGACTAGGCAATCACATGTCGCTGTCCTTACAAGCCTAGGCTCAAGGTCTTAGCACTGGCTCATCTCAGAGCTTCCCAGGAAGAAAATCCTGCCTCCAGTTTGGGCAGAGCTTGAGTCAGTGAGTGTGGGGAATACAGCCCTGTCTTGGAATTGGGAGACTTGGCTCTTTGTTCCAGCTCTGCCACAAACTCAAAGTGGGACCTTGACAAGGCTCTTCCTCTCTCTGAGAGCACAGAACCCCGGTGGTTCTGATGTCTGTCTTCAACTCCAGGGGTGTTGACCATCCTAAGATGCTCTGGAGCTATGGAGTTGCCCTCTCCCCAACTCACACATGGAGTCTCACACATGGAAAGAAAGAACCAGAGAAACACGCTGTGTGTCATGCACACGATCTTCCTGGGAACCACACAGCTCCCTTTCCTTTACAGTCTGATCCAAGATACATGGAAGGGCACTCTCAGAGCTTTAAAAATAAATGTATGGAAGAAAGTTTTTCTGTTGTAGATGATGCAGTCTCAACTCCATTTAAACACAGAGTCAAGGATGAAGTTCAGAGATGAACAGAAATGATGGTTCTCTAAATTCTGCAGAAAGAAGAAAAGGCCGCAGCCTGAAAACTTGGACAGTTTCTGTTTCTCCAGTTCACACCCTCCTATCATCAGTGCAGAGCTTGTGTGAGCATAAGGGACCCTTACTCCTGGCAGAAAGAGGAGGTCAGACTAGAATAAGAGCCTCTTGTCCTGATAGTCATTCCTTCTGTGATGACTCAAATGCACAGATCGCTGTGGAGTGCATGTGTTCACATTTTGAGTCCTGCTATTTCATAAATGGTTAGCCTGTTTTTCTTCTCTTAGCAAACCTTTACTGAGGCCTTGACATCATGCACGGTGCAGGGGAGATAGAGGAGTATCAGGCACACAGTTTCTTGGTCTGTTCTAGAGGGGCTGCTTGTCCAGGGTGGGGTTCTGACATGCTCTTAGAAGCCTGAAGCACCTGGACAAAATTGCTGAGGAGGTAGCAATGATGGTGGTGGGTTTTAGGGAGGAGGGGGATAACTCCTGTTCTTTTTCTGGATTATAAGAGGTTCCAGTGTGTTTTATGAGCTCCTTACTTCGGGCTCCTTGCAGGATTTCCATGGCGCAAAACAACATGACAGGCAGCTGTTCTGCTCTGCAGAGAAACATCCACCAAGCCCCTGGTCAGGCTTTGGGGGTCTACAGGTTTCCCAACACGTATAACTGGCGGTTTGCAAGATAGCCTTAGGTGGTCCATGAGGGTCACAAAATCTAATGCCTTACATGGGGCCAGGCAGATAAGGTAATGAGGGAAGCAGACCAGGCATAAGACGATGGGGAGAGGTTGGGTCCCTGGCAAGCTAGACAGCACAAGTCCTATTAAAGGGCTAGTGCTTCTCAGCTCCAGCAGAATGCTGCCAGGAACGTGGGTCCGGTGTTTGCCAGTATTTTTTGCATTCTTCAAGAGAAGGCAGAAGCTGGGGCTTGTGTGTATGTGTATTTCTGTAAGTGAAATCTCTATATTTAAATTAAAAAAATTTTTTTGGTAAAGATGGGGTCTCCCTGTGTTGCCCAGTCTGGTCTCAAACTCCTGGGCTCAAGCAATCCTCCTACCTCAGCCTCCCAAAGTGCTGGAATTAAGGTGTGAGCCACTGCACCTAGCTTAATCTTTATATTTCTTATGGAGGCAACTAATTTCAATTAAAAATGCCTTGCAGGACAAGCATAACTTATTTACAGAGCATCGGTTTACATCCTTTATAATGCGAGGATGCACATTGGATGTTTTATAATACCTTTATTTTAATGTATTTTAGAAAAATAAAAGTAGCACGCCAAACTGGTGAGTTTGTGAACTTTGTGAACACCCCCCAACACTCCCACCTACCCGCTTACAGCAGGAAACTACAATTGCCTTATACAATAAATTTATTTAAGTAAAAAATGAAGGGATGTGAAAGAAACGTTTGAGGCAAATAGAGCAGTGGCTACAGATGTGGCAAAGGCTGGGAAGGGGCATGCGATGTGTGGCCGAGACAGATCATGGACCCACTGATGCTTTCCGCCTGGAGCTGTGCTGTGGGGAGACTCTTAACTGCTGGCTGCAGGGCCATGGCTAGCCTCAGGTGCATCCTGGGTGTTCAGTCCAAAGCCATGGCCAGGCAGGCCATGACTCTAAGGTGCTTTCACGTCTGTGGTCTCCTATAGTCTTTAAGGCTTGACTCTATCCTGTGGCAGGTGTAGCAACAGAGGCCCAGATGGGGAGTGCCGAGGAACAGTGACTTGGAGATAGACATGGAGGTAGAACCCAGGTCTCCCGATAGTAAGAGGAGGGCTAGTTTCTTTCTACCACTGCCCTGTCGGACTCTGCAAGTGACAGAACTGAGGATCTGTGAGACGAGAGACAAGGAGGAGGAAAAGTCTTTCCTTCTACATTTCAGATCCTTGCAGGCTGCCTGTTCTGCTGCCTGGCTGCCTGCCCTCTCTCCTCCTTAGCCCTCTCCAGTGCTCCTCTTTGGGAGTATTCTCCGGCTCCTCCCCGCACTCTTCAGTGACAGCTCACTAAGTGTAGGAGAGTCTCATGCTGCTGCCTTCCTCACCCTCAATCCCCCAAAGCCAGAGCCATTCCACCACACAGCTTTATTTTTCAGATGAAGGCAAAGCTCCCACTGCAATCAAATGAATGCAGCTTCTAAATGCCTGCCTGGCAAATGACACTGTAAAAGAGGGTCCACAGCTTTCCCAGCCCCTGCCTCCCATCGAGGCAACTTTTTACTCTTTCTGATTTCAAACAGCTGGGGAAGGAGTGATGCCTGGATGTCATCACTAGTCTAGTAGCCACAGGGGTGTCTCAACTGTCCACCCCTAGGAGTGTGTGCCTTCCTGCGATCTTCCAGGGGACCAACCTAGGAAACCATGACTGACAAGGGGTGAAGCAACACTGAACTAATTCTGTTAGGCTGTGGAGGATTTCCTGGGACACAAATCACATTGTTCATTTGACATCTTATGGACAAACATGTGCTGGGAGGCTGCACAACCTGCATGAGGGATTGCTGGAATCCAGTCTGAGTGTCCACTGGAGGTGGCCATCCCAAAGCTGACCCAAATAGCGAGTGGGTCTTCCTTCTATTCCAGCACCTTGGCCAAGGGGTAGTGACTACAGGTGGCACTCCCAGTTTAGAGGGGCAGCTCTATTTAGCACCAATTGTTTGGGTCATGTGAGATGTGGGGCCAGTATTGCTGGGTGTTCTGATTTTTCAAGAGAAGCTAGAAATCAGATGTTTATGAAAAATCTCCCAACTTAAAAATATTAGAAACTAATTCAAATAAAAACAAATATACTCTGCAGGGTAAGCAAAACTTGTCTAGAGCTGGAGGTGACCTGGGGAAGATGTTTTGTTAGTTCTGCTCTTAATTCTAGTTTTGGTGGCAGGCCTTCCGAGATTGTTTATCAATTTCCTCTTTCTTTTTTTGTTTTTTTGAGACAGGCTCTCACTCTGTTGCCCAGGCTGGAATGCAGAGGCATGATGACGGCTCACTGCAGCCTTGATCTCCCAGGCTCGGGTGATCTTCCCACCTCAGCTTTCTAAGTTACTAGGACTATAGGTGCCATCACCATGCCTGGCTAATTTTTTGTAAAGATGGCATTTCATCATGTTGCCCAGGCTGGTCTTGAACTCCTGGACTCAAGCGATCCACTCACATCAACCTCTATCCATGTCCTCTTTCTTCTCCACAACAGTCACAGGCCTTGGCACTGTCGGATCCCTGGCTTTTGGATTCTTGACACAGTTGATGGTCCAAGCTTCTTACTGTACTGATGGCAGTTTGATCAGTGCCATAGATGCGGGTGTTTCTTTAGCCTTATCTCCCTGTTTCCTTTTTCAAGGCACCATGATTTTCTTTTTCACTGTAATTTTGTGAGGACTGGTGGTGGGGCAGTGGGGTGGGGGGCGTGGGATGATGGTGAGAAGCCTAGCCTTTCAAAGAAGGAAGAGTGATGTTTCCATGGGATCCTTAAATGCCACAAAGTCCCTCAGAGTTTTAAACCTCAAATTCGAAGTGGATTTTTAATCCAAATAGCCTTTATGCCTCACATAGGAAGTATTTAGCAAAGGGACTGAGCTTCCTTTGAATGTGGCTTAAAGTAAAGTGCTTGGGCATGGAAGCTGGAAGCCTGGGCTGACTTGCTGTACAACCCTGGGCAAGTCATTTGAGCATCTTGGGCTTTAGTTTCCTTATCCACAGGAAGAGTTTGATGTGAGCTCCCTCCTCTGTTGGACCGCCTAGTGTGCTCTGCAGTATGGCAGCCGGGGTCCTGCTCACGCGCAGCAGGTAAAGGATGTGCAGTTTGGTGTGACTGCCAACTCAGCCCAACCGTCTCTGGCTTAGAAAAGGTCCTAAGTGTGCTCTTATTGGATGAGTCTTGACAGCCTGTTATTTTTAAAATTTTAAATTTGTTTAGAGTTGCTATGATTCAATTATAGTCTTGTTCTTCCCACTACAGTTTCTTCTCAGTGGAAGCTGATGCTCTCTGTTTTTACCTGGTGACTGCTAAAGGCAGATGAGCAAAATCTCTCACCCCTGGGGTGGCTTCAGAAGCTTCCCTTTAACTCTGAGACCCCCATAAAGGATAGCCCTACTGCAGCCTTAAAACAGAGTGTGAGAATGGCTTCCCTCCCCAGCTTCCAAGGTGACCACTTGTGTTTTATTATTATTTTATTTTTAATTTTTGTGGGTACATTTTATATATATATATATTTATTTATTTATAAGGTCCATGAGATATTTTGGTACAGGTATGCAATGAGTAGGAATCATACCATGGAAAATGGGGTATTCATCTCCTCAAACATTTATCCTTTGTCTTACAAACAACCCAATTACCCTCTTTAGTTGTTTTTAAATGTATAGTTAAATTATTGCTAACTATAGTCCCCTTGTTGTGCTATCAAATACTAGGTCTTATCCAGTCTTTCTAATTTTTTGTACCCATTGAGCATCTTCATCATCACCCCCACCTGCCCTCTCCTTGTGCTTTTTAAAGCAAATATGAAAAATATGAACATTTTAGGATTGAAGCTAGTCATTAATCTTTATGAAGACACCATTGAAAATAACATCTTACATTTGTGGAGCACCTACTATGTAGCAGCCACTGTTTTAAGTAGTTAATTAATTTAATACTAATAGTAACCCTACAAGATAGGAATGATTCTTAGTCCCATTTGCAGATGAAGAGACTGAGAGGCATAGAGAGGTTAAGTAATTTACCGAAGGTCATGTAGCTGGCAAGTTGCAAGAGGGATGGGATTCAAACTCTAGTAGTCTAGTTCCAGAGCCTGTACATGGTGCTGCTGCTGCCTCTTAATGATTTATAACAATCGACAATGCTTTCCCAGTGATATTTACAACTATTTTAAACGAAAATGAGGAAAACATAATTTTCTTTGCTTTGCTTATGTACAAATTTAATGGCCAGATAATGATTTGAAAAGTAAGGATTTTAAGCTGAACTACAGTGATTTTCTTGCCATATATTTATATATAACTATATTTATGTGTTATATCCATATAATGACATATCCAGAAATATCTCTGTAAACACATATACACAGAGAAGGTGACATACACAAAAATATAAACATTAGATCAGATGCCAGCTTAATTCTAGGTGGCCCAAAAGACTACCTCCCTCCCAGATCTTTTTCCAATATGCTTTGAGTTTGCTTAGTGAAAATAAGTGGATTGAATATTAGGGAAAACAAACAATCTGAATGTATTTGAGGGAACACTTAAGCTGACTGATTAGAAAAGGGCAAGAGGCCCCTTGCTGAGCTCAAGTAGCCAGGCTCTAGACGGCCTGTGTGTCTGGTGAGACTGTAGGGTGAATAGAAAAGTCCCTTCAGGCTATCAGCTGAGGACATGGAGTGCCCTTGGTGCCCAGCACCAAGCCGTAAGATCAGAGAAGGCAGAAACTATGGCCCAGTAGATTTAAGGGGAGTCACCCACCTGCTACTTCGTCCTTCATTTGTATAAGCTGGAGACCCAGTGCAGCCTCAGAATGAACTTTCAGATATTAATGCTCTGGAATGTGAAAAAGCTTCTCATAGAAAGCTTAAGAGTAGGATGCAAAAGTATATACATGGAGGCTGGGCACCGTGGCTCACGCCTGTAATCCCAGCACTTTGGGAGGTCAAGGCTGGCAGACCACATGAGGTCAGGAGTTCGAGACCAGCCTAGCTAACATAGTGAAACCCCGTCTCTACTAAAAATGCAAAAATTAGCTGGCTGTGGTGGCGTGTGCCTGTAATCCCAGCTACTCAGGAGGCTAAGGCAGGAGAATCACTTGAACCAGGGAGGCGAAGTTTGCAGTGAGCCAAAATCGCATCACCGCACTCCAGCCTGGGCAACAGAGACTCCATCTCAAAACAACAACAACAACAACAACAACAACAACAACAACAACAAAAACTGTATACACGGTATAATCTTGACTTTGTTCAGAGAAAAATGGATATTTCTAAGTATGCACAGGAATGTTAGTATAAAGGAAATACACCAAAATATGGTTTTTAGATGTCTTCTTTATACTTTCCCATGCTGTCCACAGAGTCTACAATGAATGCATATTACTTTTACAATGAGGAAAATCTCTAATAAACATCCTTTCAAAAGGTAATAGTTTGAAACTGGAATATAACTTTTCCAAAGAAGCTGGACATTTTATTGTGACCCACTCTTCTCCCAAATACCAAGGAAGGCACTTTCTGGTAGATCCCGAGGAGCTTTTGGCACCGCCCTGTTCTGCTGCTCTCAGATGCTCTGGGCTTGTGGTCTTGCGCACACATTGTCTACAAACTCCCCAGAGCCTAAGGTTCTGGAGAAGGACGTCACAGCGGCCAGGTGGCCAAGGGAAGGCAGTACTGCTATTATCTCTTTTAAGTATGGGGCTTTTCCATAAGATCTTCTTTCTCTTCTGAAAGTGATTTGATTACTTAAAATAAGCAAATAGTGGTCTGTTCCAACTCCATCATTGTATTGAGGTCCACAATGAAATGGACTTGGTCAAGGTCACAGTGGAGTTTCTATTAGAATATGAGCAAGGTCTCTAAAAAGACAGGCCAGGATACCCCTGGCTCTAGCCCTGTGGATCCTTTTCGCGAGGTCTGGTGCAAGGTAGGCTTTCTTTGAGCACAGCCAAATCAGATGTCTCCTGGCAGCACTTTGACTCTCGAGTATCAGAACAACACACACATCCCCTCCCTTGGCACTTCCTAGGGGAAGGGGTGTTATCCCTCCTTGTACGTTCTCTAGGGCAGAGAAACCAGCATGTGAGCACTACCAGAGGACAGAGAGGTTACCTGGTTCAGTTCCTTCATTCGATAGATGGTAGGCTGAGGTCTAGGGAAAGGAAGGACTCCCTAAAGTCACTCAATGAGTCTCTTATGGAGCTAGAGCTATACCCAAGAAAGGGACGCCTACTCGTAATGTTAACACATCATCCTCTTTCTTCAGAAGAGGCACTTGAATCCCAGAGACGGGGTGCAAATTACATTAAGACACCCAGGGAAATAGAAGCAAAGTTGGGACTAGTCCATAAATCTTCCATCCTCCTGATTCCCAGCCTGGGTTTATAATTTCCCTCCACCTCTGCCCCTCTGCCTCAGTTCCATCCATGGCCCAGCTTGGGTATGAGTTTTCTGGTTTCTGGTTATCTGTGCATAGCTGGTTGAGGTCTCTTCTCCTTCCTGATGGTAAATAGCCATTTTTTTTCAACTGCCCACAGGATCATCCGGACAAAAGTACAGCAGCCACCCAACCAACCAGTCCCAGCTTCCAGTCACAGCATAGGTAAGAAGAACTTTTTAAAAAAATTTAAAAATCTAATGGGCTCCAAATATTCTAAAGAACTTTTAATCATTCTTATGGACAGATAATTCTGCATAAAACACTTCAGCACACGTACTAATGCGCCTTCTTTGTCATTCTCCAAGGGCTGAACCTGGTAAATGAATTTTATAAATACTGCTAAAAGGTTTTGAATTTTACTGATTATTATGATAAATAGCTTTCACCATGAGACAGAAAATTGAAATCTAAGCCAAAAAAAAAAATCCACTAATGGGGGTCTATAGAATGTCAGATAATTAAAGTAATAAATCAAGAAAGGGATACTTATTCATAACATTTTCTGCATCATTAGTCAGTAAGTAGTTTTGAATGTGTTTTTTTCTTCTATCAACCAGCCCTTCTACAATTCTTTGTGCACTTGCAGTCTTGAGTGAAGATGTGGCAAAAGTTCTCAAACTTACTTTCTCTCTCTCTTGCTTCGATCTCACGTACTCTGAACCGTCAAGGGCTGCCGGTGGGGTTTCCGGCAGTCACAGGTGAAGTCTGAGGGTGGCCGTGACCCGAAAGAGTGGGGGTCATACTTCCTAGTTTTCAAGAGTTCAGAAATGTCCTTTGTCTTCCCTTCAAAGATTGTGAAAGGACACTGTCTATTTAAGGTGTATTATTTATCCACTTGGGATACAGAAAACACCTCTGGTTAGCTGGGGGGAAGGTTATTCTGCTATAAGAAAGTGGACAATGATTCAGAAAGTCTCTGACACTCCTGGTTGCCACAGTCAATCCTGCAGAATCACACTTCAGATTGTGTAACCTTTCCACACTTTGTTACTCCTTCTTTAAATGAGAATTTGCACTCACACAGTGATGGGGACTGGGCAGAAGCCTGGCCTCTAGTTCCAACTCTGTCATTAACTCACCCAGTAAAATGAGAAAGTCCTCTCACCTCCATGAGTCTCAGTTTCCTCATTTGTGGATGGAGGGGCACTAACCAGGTGTTCTCTGAGGACTCTGCTCCTCCAGGGTTGGCTCTTTGGATAAAGGTAAGACAGATTTCTTCCCTGCCAGGAAATCATTCCTCACTTAGTAATCCTTTCAGAAAGTGTCTGTTAAGTGTCTGCTGGGCAGACCTTAGCATCAGAGGCCAAGTGTCTGCTGGGCAGACCTTAGCATCAGAGGCCAAGCCCACAAGAAAGGGAAGACATGATCCCCATTCTCAAGGGCTTCTTTCTAGGTCTAAAGGCGGAATATAATGAAGAGAAGTTTGCGAAACAGAGATGAAGCTCAAGAAGAAGGGATGGATGCTGTGGGGGCAGAAGGGAAGGAACCACCAGCTCTGCTGGGCTAGGATGAAGAGGGTGAAGGAAGGCTTCCTGGGGGAATGTTTGTGGCTGAGATTTCACTTGTAGTTGACCAACTATTTCAGGTCACATAGCACTGAAAATCAAACTAGGTGTAACTGCTAATATTCGTTCAATTGGTTTAGAGGGATAATTCTATTGTAGGTCAGCAGAATGCTTTGTTTTGTCCCAGAAATTTTTAAATTAAAACTACATCTCACATACACATAGCCTCTTAGAGTTCAAAAACTTATCGAGGCGTGAGGAAATTGAAACCCAGAGAGAAGAAATAACTAGCCCTAGGTCATGTTGCCAGGAAGTGGTGGAGCCAGAAGTGGAGTCTGGGTCTTTTGAGCCTAGAGCAATCACAAAACACCAAAACGAATGTCATGGGCTCTGTCAGCAACATGGTGAGCCTTGGTTATACATGGTGATTGTTGTTTAAAGTACCAAGTGACCTGGGATCTTCTTTCTTCCTCTGTTTTTTACACATTAATACAGAAAAGGTTATGGGATTTGCATAAATCTATTTTAAGGAGCTGCTTCTGGCGAAGAAAAAGAGAAGTTAACTATTTCTGCTTCTGTGTCTCTTAAGGAAGATGTAAGATCAAACTGAAATGTGAGAAGAAAGGCAGGGTTCCCTCTGGGTTTGTAGGAGCCAGGAGCTGGATCTGCTCCAAAGGGAAGCCATGAAGGGCTTCTCAGGCAGTCGCCACCATTTCTAGTAATTTCCTACACTTAAGAGTCAAAGATGACTCCACCTGTCTCCAGCTGGTTATAGCCCAAGGAAGTGTGTCTGAGATTGGTCTGTAGGTTTTAATGAACCAAGAAAGAATTCCCACAGCCCTCAGTGGCAATTCAGCTGTACAGGTGGAGAGACCCCTACTGATGGACTGGTCTCTTCCTAGGATTCTGGGACCAGAAGTTAATGTGAAACTTGCACAAAAGTTGCACACCCCCTGCTTCATCTAATTCTTATTCTTAGGAACTTTGAGACCTGGTCTCAGTCACAATAAGTCACCAACCACTGCCCCTGTTTCTGGGCAGAGGAAATCTAGACTTTAAGTAAGTAAACCCAATGCTGAGTTCTGGCGTCACTGTTTATTGGCTAGATGACTTTGAATCACTTTCCCTGTGGACTCTTAGTTTCCTCATTTGATAAATGGGGATAAGTAATAGCACTCTGGGCTGTTGCAATCATAGCACCGCGTTCATGTGAAGTATATTATTGCTCTTCATTATTTATTAGTGAGAAGCAGATTAGTTATAGGGGTTAAGGCTTTAGTCTCTGGGTTCAAATCACCAGTCTCTCTCTTTATTTATTTATTTAAGATGGAGTTTCTTTTTTTAATTTTCTTTTTTGTTCTCTTTTATTATTTTATTTATTTATTATTATTATTATTATTTTGCTTTTTTTTAAAGATGGAGTTTCACTCTTGTTGCTTAGGCTGGAGTGCAATGGTGTGATCTCAGCTCACTACAACCTCTGCCTCCTGGGTTCAAGTGATTCTCCTGCCTCAGCCTCCTGAGTAGCTGGGATTACAGGTTTGCACTACTACACCCAGCTAATTTTGTGTTTTTAGTAGAGACGGGGTTTCTCCAATTTGGTCAGGCTGGTCTTGAACTCTTGACCTCAGGTGATCCATCCACCTTGGCCTCCAAAAGTGCTGGGATTACAGGCATCAGCCATGGTGCCTGGCCTTTTTAATTTTTATTTTTTGAGGCAGAGTCTTGCTCTGTTCCCTAGGCTGGAGTGCAGTGGCACAATCATAGCTCACTGCAACCTTGACCTCCTGGGCTCAAGTGATCCTCCTGCCTCAGCCTTCTGAGTAGCTGGGGCTATAGGCTTGTGCTACCACATCTGGCTAATTTTTAAAAAGTTTTTGGTAGGTCTTACTATGTTGGCCAGGCTGGTCTTGAACTCCTGAGCTCAAGTGATCCTTCCAGAGTGCTGGAATTAAAGGCATGAGCCCCAGCCCAGGCACTCTACCTCTTATTAGCTGTGCGACCCTGGGTGAGCCATTCATCTTTGGGTTCCCCTTCCCTTTCTTTTCCAACGGGATCATCACAATTACCTAGCTTCTTAGATTGTTCTCAGAATTAAATGAGATAATGCCTCAATGCCAGCACAGAGTAAGTTCTCAGAAAATGTTAGTTATCGTTATTGTCATAATTAATACGAAAAATCAAATCCCAGGAAACTGGAAGAAGAAAAGACAGCAAGAAACTGAAAAGAAGGTGCGCTCTGCGGTTTGGAGTTTGTTAGTTGTGCATGTGAGTTTGTGCTCAAGTAGTTGTGTTTGCACTCACGGCTGGGTGTGCAGGCAGGTAGTGAAATGCCTAATGAATAGTTCAGGTTTTTTTGTTGTTGTTGTTGTTGTTGTTTTTTTCTAGCACTGGCTGTTGGTGGGCCCCGGCTCGCCTCTTTCTCCTCTCCATCCCCTGCTACCTGCGTCAAAGGTTAGGCTGGGATTTGAGCAAGCGCCCTTCCTGTCCCTATGTTCCTTTCTGCCAGGTTCAGTCCTCCTCAGTGCTCACCCCTCTCTTACTCCCCACAGCGCAGAGAACCGGGGCAAACCACGCCCGAGGCCCGCGCCCCTGGCCCAGGTGTGGCCGCCTCTGTAGGGCTAGGGTCCTCAGCGCCACCCCCACCCCCCGCACTCGCTCACTCCCAGCCGCCCCAAGCCCCGCGTGCGGTGTTAGCCGGCCCGCCGCCCTCGGCTCTCTGCGGTCCTGACCACCCGTCTTTCCCCGCGCAGTATCCACGGGCTCCGTGACGCAGGTGTCCTCGGTGAGCACGGACTCGGCCGGCTCGTCGTACTCCATTAGCGGCATCCTGGGCATCACGTCCCCCAGCGCCGACACCAACAAACGCAAGAGAGACGAAGGTAAGAGACGCCCGTGCAGCCCCATCGGGAATGCGCCCCACGGGGTCAGTTTTCGGCGCTCAGTCAGTCGTGGGTGGCAGCAGAGGTGTCTGCGAGCACTTCCCTTACCTGCAGAGGAGAGAGTCCCCAAGCCCGCACGCTGTCCCCTTCGAGAACACTTGAAGGAGCTGAGCCCTCCCTCCGCCAGATAGACAGCAGCAGCAGGGTGGGACTGTGGCATTCTTGCCGGTGTCCGCCGTAGTCGCCCCTTGGGTAGAAGAAGTGGGCCTGGCAGAGCCCTTGTGGCCTGAGCTTTGGCCTTTAAGAAGACCCTGTGTGTGTGCAGATAATGCGGCCCGAGGGCAGGGTGTGCTGGGCTCCACACCCAAGTCCCCTTTGTGGAGGAGCTTTGGACCAGAGAAAGGGGGCTGGGCAAAGCCGGGACAGGGGCACACTTGGGGAGGGTGGAGGGGTGGGTTCTCTGAAAGGCCTGCACTCGCCTCAGCAGAGAAGGCTTTCAGCCCCGGTGATGGTGTTGGGGGTGGTGTGGAGGAAATTAATAATCATCTCATCCTTGCCCTTGGGTCTGGAAGGAAGCAGTGTGGGGGTGTTGGGGGGGATTACAAAGATGACAATCTTCCCGGTTGGTTTTTCTCAGCCCCTCCACCAGCCGTGTGCTACCTGGGTCTCCAGAGCTGGCTGCCTCCATCCTGGACACTGGGCACCTTAACCGGGGCTCCTTTCCTCTGGATGGGCTGCCAGCACTGGCTGACATTAATGGGTTTGAGAGAAAAGACCCCCTGGGAGTCTGTAAAACCTTAGTCAGGAAAAGGGGGGAAAAAAAAAGCCAGGGCTGTGGTCGAGGGCCTGAGAGCACCGTGACAGAAATCTTGATTCAATTATTCTGTTCCTCGGCACAATTCCCTTTCTCAGCTCCGTGTAAGGAATGTGTGTTCTCGTGAGCACATGCCTAAGTACTTAAGATCTGTAACTAGAAAATTGAGTTGGCCCAGCCGTGGATTGGCTTGTGGTCTGCGTGTTGCCAGCAGCCCAGAAGCCGAGCTGGTGGCCTCAGTCTGGAACCATGGGGGTGCGTGGGGATGATTCACGGCTTTTGGAACCTGCCTCGCCTCTCCTCCTCCTGCCTCTCCTCCTCCTGCCGCTCCTGAGCAGATGTCAGAAGTCTTTAACTCAGTAGGTTGCGGTGCTACGTGCTGCAGGAGGCAGTGGGCCTGCCATCGTTGTTGGTTTATGAGGCTGATGGTGTTATCTTTTCTCCCATTGTCACCTGGACTCACAGCAGATGTGCCTAAGCTGGGGCCTGGCTATATTTGTTCATGGGTGGAAGGACAGATTGTGTGAGGCTCCCCTAGAGGCTGAGGGATCCAGGCAGTGATTTTCTGGGGGAAAAAAAATCTAGTTTAATGTTTACCACCAACAGACAGTTCTGGCCTGGGGGCATTGTTTTACTTTGTTTTCGGGGTGCTATATTGGCTGGCAGTCTGACCAGCAGTCATGGTTTGGGCCCTCGAGCTCCTTTATGAGGTACAGTGTGGTCCGAATGTGGGTGGTGTTGGTCTTGACTACTCTGTACTACTCAGATCATTCCTGGAGGACTGTGGCCCATTTGGGTATATTGACTTTTAAGAGGGATAGTGACAAATGGGGCTGGGTCCTAAGTGAAGAGGGATCTGATACAGCACCTGGGAACGCCTCAAGGCTCTAGGGATATTTTGGCACAAAGAAGAGCAAAGAGACTGGATTGCTGCCTTCAAGTGTTTGGAGGCTGACAAGGAAGAAGGAATGAAATCTTGTTGCATGGCCTTAAAGTGTACAGCAGATGCAGAGGTGATTTCACCTCAGTTTAAGAAAGAACCAAGTTGCACATATGAGAGTGGCCTAGGGATAAAAGGAGATGCCTCCAGAGGGAGTGATGCCCTATCTCTGGGGATATGTAAGCAGAGACTGAGTGACCACTTGTCAGGCTGCCGTACAGAGTATCAAGAATCAGATGTGGTATTGGATGATTACTTTTAGTTTTTTAATTACATATTTTTCCTTAATAAATGGAGATGGGATTTTGCTGTTGCTAAGGCTGGTCTCAAACTCCTGACTCAAGTGATCCACCTGCCTAGGCCTCCCAAAGTGCTGGGATTTCAGGCATGAGCCACTGTTCCCAGCCTGGGTAATCTTTGAACTCTTTCCACTTCTGTTATATATGGAAGAGTCCTGATCCTCAGGACGATGAGAGGCAGTTCAGTCAGTGGTCTGTGGTGGAAGGGAGAATGACTTGATGGTCCTGGAAGCCTGATGGAGTGGAAAGAGTGGGGGATGAACCCAAGCAGCAACCAGAGCCTCCTGTTCGCTGCTGCCCACACCGCTGACAGTGTGCACGTTTGATCCCAGGCAGCAATGGCCTGGCTCACACCAGGGAAGTGTCTGTGGGGCGATTGCATAAGTGCCTCCTTCTGATCTTTCCCATCCTCTCTCTGTATCTCTCTGGATCACTGCAGAAGCTCTAGTGGGAAGTAAAGACACAGAGACTGTCACTTCCATGTTACTAGGGGAGGTGATGGAGGCTCCACAGTCATACAGTTGGCATGGACTGGGGAGTCGGGAGTAATTGCAGTGCCCTAGGGCCTCAGTTCCCTGGTATTTTCCAGCTACCTGTTGCCCCTTAGTCCTTCTGGAGAGGCCCTTTGGAGGTGGAGCAGCCCGGGACTGGGCAGAGCCTGGGGCCTGTGTGGGAAAGAGTTTCAAACAGAAGGGCATGAGTAGCAGGTTGGATGCTGCAGAGAGAGAAGTGAGACCTGAAGGCCAGAGGTTGGGGGAGAGCAGAGAAAGTAAGAACCAGCCACTGGGGAAACAGGGACATTGCAGGCACACTGACCAGTCGGCCAACGGAAGCTGCAAACCATGGATTTGTGAGGGTGCTGGCCTCTGGGGTGGTGCCATCAGCAGCCTGAGAGAGATCATGGGTGAGAGGTGTTGGAGGGCTAAGAGGAAGACAGCTGAGGGTCCTTGCCCATTTTGCAGATGAGGTGACTGAGGCTTTGCAAGGTGGAGTTGCTTACTCTGTTGCCTGGTTCATAGTCATCCCCAGCTTGGACTTGAGTTTTGTTCTGAGGGCATTTCCTGGGGCCACCCTCCTGCCCAGATCTCGGCAGAGGTGAGCACGTGTTAGGATCCAAACACAGAGGGTGAGCTGGAGAGCAAGACTGGCAAGCTCAAAGCCCTCTGATGAGCATGGCAGTGGGTGAAGTCACACCGGGGGAAAGGGTAAGGCAGGGAGGGCCAGTTTTGACTGAAAGGATCTGGGAGGGCTTCTTATAGGAGGCGGCTGGGTAGAGGGAGGAGAGGGCATTCCAATCAAAGGCAAGAGAGACTGTCCCAAGTCTGGGACTCTGGTGAGCCTGTGCAGGGAGAGGACCCGCTTGGCAGGATTTGGAAAGGGAGAGAGGTAGAGAGATGTGGGTGGCTTAGATGTTGACCGAGGCTTCCGAACATTTAGTCTAGAAGCATTAGGGGGATGGTTTTGAGCCGTGTGTCTTAGATACTCAAGAAACAGTGTGCTGAGTGTTTCAGATATAAAGGCAACATGAAGTGACTAGCCCTGCACCACCCCATAGAAGTAGAATGCAAGCCACATGTGTGATTTTAAATGATTTAGTAACCACATTAAAAAGTGTAAAATGAAACAAGTGGAACTAATTTTAATAACATATTCTATTTAATTCAGTATACCCAAAATATCATCATTTCAACACATCAATATAAAAAATTTGATGCTAGGTTTTCTCTTATTTTTAGTGCCAAGTTTTTGAAACCAGATGTGTATTTTACATGTACAGTACATCTCAATTTGGATGCTAAACGTTTGACGGTTAAAGTTAGATGTAGTCCTACCAAAACAATAAAGTTGTATTTAGTGGGAAAAATATTTTACACTGCTTCTATTTTAAAATTTAAATTAAAATCAAATGAAATAAAGAAATTAGTTCCTGGATTGTACTAGCCACATTTCGAGTGTGCAGTGGCTACATAGGACTAGTGGCTGCTGTGTTGGACAACACTGCTCTAATACAAATGCTTGGCACACAGTAGGTGCTCAATAAGTGCTCTTTGGTAGGGTGGATCAGTCACATTCCTTTAGAGGGTTCACAATTAGTAACCAGGGTAAATGGAAGGACCTCTAGTCTCCTCAGTCAAGGGTGCTTCTGTCTGGTATTTTGGGCTTCCATAGAAAGCTCTGAGTAGAGTTCTGTAGCAAAGACAAACAAACAAACTAGAATATTGTTAGACCAGTGGATTGGCAAAGGCCCTTTCAGTCTAGAAATTCTAGGGTTCTAATGTCTGCCTTCAAGACCAGACTTGGGGATACGGCCACTATGTCCAAGTCTCGGAAGAACTGTTCTACAGCAACAGGTGAGTTCTCTGTGGCCTCTGGAGGCAGAGCTGGGGCTGGTTAAAGAAAGCTACAGGAGGCAGATAATGGCTTGAGTGCAACATATGGCTTTTAGAAGCAGCCAGTCTGGGCCAAGAATGGAAGCATTATCTTAGAAAGGTACTGAGCTCTCCATCATCAGAGGTGTGAGCAGGGGCTGGACAAATGAGAAGCAGAAGAGTCAAGGAGGACATTCTGCTTCAGACTTCGTGACTTTTGAGGCAGGCCTGTTCCTGTCTGGGTGGCCAGTGCTTCTGTGCCTGTACTGTGTCTGCTTGTACTTATATCCCCCTATCTTTCCCCTCTGCTGCCTGACTCTGAGGCTTCCACTCATGTGGACTGGACAGAACAGAGGCCACAAATCATTTCTATCCCTGACCCAGCCTCTCGGCATAGCCCTGGTCCACAGGGATGCCCACGAGGCCTGTGGGATGGCCCTGAGGGTCATGCTGGGGTGCTGCCCAGTTATGAGATGCAGCTTTGTCTCTTGGTTGGTCAGAACTGAGAGCTTTCATGGAGGCAGCTGTGGCATGGCTCAGGAATCCTGCTGGGTACGGGGGATAGAGGCTGAGTCGGC